TTCCTTACATTGAGGGTGGCAAAGCACTGGAATAGGCTGCCCAGGGAGCTTGAGGAGTCTCTCTCTCTCTGGAGACATTCAAAATCCACCTGGACACCTTCCTGTGTCACCTGCTCTAGGTGACCCTGCCTTGGCAGCGGGCTTGGATGAGATGATCTCCAGAGGTGCCTTCCAAGCCTAACAATTTTGTGATTCAGTATGTAGAAATAGACCCTTCTCCAGTACTTTCTCTCAAAGGCTTCCACTTTAAAACAACAACAGCAAAAAAAGCATTTGCAACTTTTCTTTAAATAAAGAGCAAAAAAAGACCATATATGGTACTTTACAATGAAACTGGATTGCTAACCCTGCTCCAGTGCAATGAAATAATTTCTAGCAAGTAGGACATTTCAGCTGAAATAGGAAGACCAACTCGGTTCTTCCTCAGAGGTCAGAAACTTGCCCCAATTTGGAGACTGGGGATTTGATCCAATCTCCCATTTCTCAAAAGAGTTCAGCAGTCTCTGATTTCATGTACATAAACACTGCTGCCAGCTTGTTCTTGTGAGAAAATTTACCCGACTGTCATAAAAGGCCCAAGGCCCTGAAATACCAATTCAAAATGTTTAGACTCTTAGTTATTGATGAAAGTTCTCTAAAACTGTTTACAATGAGAAATACATTAAAGGAACATAGTATCATAGGTATGAACAGATTTTATGTGAGAAATAACCATACACCCACAATAAAAACAGCTTCAATTAGACACTCCCTTGCAGTTACTAATCCTGCAAAACTCTAGAAATGTTCAAATACATGAAGACCCAAAGTAAACAAACACAACCCAGAAAAGAAAAACAATTCCAACAATTTACGCAGTGAAGAAAATAAACCATAAAGAGCTATTATAAATGGAAAAAGACATCATACTTTAAATTTCCTTTCCTTTAGAGATGTATTTAGCAAAAGAATCTTTTGAAAATACTTATTTTCAAGGTTTCAAAATAAAGCTTAATAGCACCTTCCTGAAGTTTCTTACATGCTGTGAAAATATATTTAAAAGAAATAGTGCCCAAACATAAATATTTCTTATAATACTTGTCAAGATTTTCCAAGCAAGAAACCAGAAAGCCATCTAATTATTTATACTTAAATATTTTCTTACTTTAATAGCTTGTTACATGGAAAATTCTTTTTAATAAATTCTATACATGAACAAAAGCATTTAATCGTTAGAAAGAAATATTAAAGTATAGCTAATTAATGTCTGTTATTGATATTAAAAACTTACAAGGCTGCCTTTAATAAGCAACACAGTAGGCACAATTAAAAAATGAGCATGGTAAAACCAATACCATTAGAAAAATGATAATATTCAGCCAGGAGGATACAATAGAGTGGCCTAATTCTGACAACTGCAAACTTTGAGCTGCTCTTCTGATTAGCTGTGGGGTCTTGTTTGTCAAAACTCTTTGTATTAAACAGCCTTTTTTGTAACATGAGATATTACTGTGGTAAGGTCAGCATGGCTATTTAAAAATAATGTCTACAACCTAATTGCCCTGAGTTAACCATTTCTAAGCACTGCAACTCCACACATATGAAATAATGGTTTTTTTCCCTAAATAAACACACTATAAAAGTTTTGACTGTGTAAAAACAAATCTAGTATTTTTAAAATTATATTTGTAAAAAAAAAACCCCAACAAAAACAAACCATACATGATTTACAGCAGTGTTCAAGGGCACTGCAACCTTCAGAGCAGCTCCATGAATGATTTCTTTTATTTTTGGATGGTACAGCTATGTTTTGCTTTAGATAAGAGGACATTTTCCCATACCACAGGATAGCTCATTCCCCTTTTCTCTAACCTCATGTCTAAGGGTACATGTTGTTAGAAGTCAAGAAAGAAAACTGAAGGTAACCCCTCCTGCCCAGCTGCCCTGCCAGCACACCACCCCCACCACTGCTGGGGAACTGAGTCCCTCCACTGAAGGTGTCCCTCAGTCCCAGTTCCAGCTCATCACTGATCTGGACTGGTTTCCAGGCATTCTTTAAAAGCTAATGAAAAGGGAGGGCTGGCTGTGTCACCTCAGCCAAGACTGAGTGCTGCTTTCATCATAATCATGAATCCAATCTTTTCTGTTGACAAAATGGGCAATATATTTCCAACAAAACTACAGACCTACTGGAGTATTTGTATGAACACAAAACATCAAATCCCATTTCTAAGATGGCAGAAATAAATCCCATGCAGCACAACATGAGGAAGGTAAATTAGTGTAGGTTAACTTGTGATCAAAAAATCAACACAGATCTTTGAATGTTCCTGGTGTCAGTCCATGGCACAGCTAAAATGGTTTTGCTGCCTTAATTTCATACTATGTATGAAACGTATCTGGAATTTCAAGTTCCCAATTCCTCAGCTGACAGAAATGACTTCTGAGATGATTTTCACATTCTGGGAACAGATTTTTATTCTTAAATTAGCCATGCGTACTCTCAGACTTAACATTTTGTCTTGAAATAAAACAGCAGCGATAATTGTTAATTTAAGACCCCACACAATGCAAATTTATGTTCTGGAGCCAAATATGCTGATTAGAAACAGATGAACATGAAATGCCTTTTATTGAGCAGAATTAAAACTAAGTATTAGTGAAGTGTGTTGCTAATTTGACACATGACACATCAGACATTGATTACTGATTTTTTTCTTTGGTACAATGAAATACCAGAAGTGCCCTATTAATCTTTTAAGAATTGTACAACCCTTGTTACAAAGTGCCACATGTTCAGCTCCTGTCCTCTCCTGCCCTCATGGGTTTCAGCTGGATTACTTGTACTCACCAAGGATGAAGCTACTCTTTTCATTATTCCTGACACTGGACTCCTCACACTTTTTGTTTTGGAGCTTTAGTAACAAAAATAACGGTTTTAAGCTTTAATGCTCACTTTCTGCTCAGACCTTGAGATCAAGCTCAGAGTGTTGTGGATGGATTTGTGCCTGAGGTCTGGAAAAAATCACCCCAGCTTTCAAAATGGGCAGGGAAGAGGACACAGCCAGCCAGCCTCACCTTCCTCCCAGGAAAGGTGATGGAGTGGCTCATTCTGGAGGCCATCTCTATCCACATGGATGACAAGAAAGTGCTCAGGAGTACCAGTTTATTACCTCACTAGTATCAGTTTAGTACCTCACTAAAAGTACATCATGCTTCTACCTTCAGCAAGGCTTTTGACTGTCTCTCACAGCATCCTCATAGGCAAACTCAGGAAGCATGGGCTGGATGCCTGGACAGTGAGGTGGATTGAGAACAAGCTAAACAGCAGCTCCCAAGGGTCATCATCAGTGGCACAAGGTCTAGCCAGAGGCCTGTCACCAGTGGTGTCCCCCAGAGTTCCATACTGGGCTCATACTGCTTAACTTGTCCATCAGTGATTTGAATGAAGGAGCAAATGCCTCCTCAGCAAGTTCACTGATGACACCAAGCTGGGAGCAGTGGTCAATTCTGCTGTGACCCTTGAGAGGGACCTTGACGGTTTAGAGACATGAGCAGAGAAGAATCTTCTGAAGTTTAATAAGAGCAAATGCAGGGTGCTGTACCTGGGGAGGAACAGCTGCACGTACCAGTCCAGCTGGGGGCTGAGCTGCTGGGAAGCAGCTCTGCAGAGAAGGGCCTGGGGTCCTGGTGACAACATCTGTCCATGGCCAGCAGTGCCCTGGTGGCCAAGAAGGCCAATGGTGACCCGGGCTGCTCTAGGAAGGGCATTGCCAGCAGGTTGGGACAGCTGATCCTGCCCCTCTCCTCAGCCCTGGTGAGGCCACATCTGGAGTGCTGTGTCTGTTCTGGGCTCCTCAGGACAAGAGAGACATGGAGCTCCTGGAGCAGGTCCAGCAAAGGGCAATAAAGATGATTAAGGGGCTGGAGCATCTCTCTTATGAGGGAAGGCTGAGGGAACTAGACCTGTTCAGCCTTGAGAAGAAATGACTGAGAGGGGACCTCATCCATGTCTATCAGTAGCTGAAGGGAGGGTGCCAGAAGGATGGATCCAGGCTCTTCTCAGAAGTGCCAAGCAATAGAACAAGAGGCAACAGGCAGAATCTGATCCACAGAAGGTCCCACCTGAATGTAAGAACTTCTTTACCAGCAGAACTTCTTTACCAAGCTTTACTGAGCACTGGAACAGATGGAGAAGGGTTGTAGAGTCTCCCTCATTGGAGATATTCAAGAACTGTCTGGACAAAATTCTGTTCCATACACTTTAGGAAAACACTGCTTAAGCAGGGAGATTGGACCAGATGACCCACTATGGTCCCTTCCAACCTCATCCATTCTCTGATTCCGTGACTCAATATTTGGAAATATTTGGAAAATAGTAGCAATGACCAAATGAGTAACAGAAAGCTCTGAAGTACTGAGGCTACTAGTGCTCATTTGCACTGAAGGTCTCTGTTACAAAAAGCTAACATAATCTACTGAATGGAAAAACAGTAACCAAAGTACAGGCTGTGAATAAAGGATGGTAAAAAGCCTGGAACTACTGGAATACTTCCAAAAAGGAGTAAGGTAAGTAACAGAAACAAATAGAAAGCTTTGGAGGACGAACTCAAGAGGTGTTTACTTGCACTGGAAGTCTCCATTGTAAAAAGCTGAAATAAATTTACTGAATGGAGCAACTGCAACCAAACAGTACAGGTTGAGAATAAAGGATGAGAAAAAGCCTGGAATTACTGGAGTACTTCCAAAAAGGATTCTGCAACATTGACACATACATGGCTGCGTGACTGAGGCCAGCAAGAGAAGAGAAAGCCTAAATCTTTCTGAAATGGCATTCAATTATATACTTGTAACTAATGAATCTGCCAACCCAATCAACTAGTGAAGGTGGAGGAAAAGAAGCTCATTATCACAACATATCTCCTGAAACAGCAGAGGAGGATATAGTAAAATAATTCTGGAATTGCTCTCCTTTTATCCGCCCCGGGGAAAAAAATGTGCATTTTAATTCAAAGAGGTACCTGTAAAAGCAGAATGCCAAACTCTTGTCCACACTCCAAACAGAGGAATGCAATGCTCTGGAGGATTCTGAAAAAAAAAGACAAGAAAAGAATATACGAAAAAGGTATTTAAAAAGCCCAAAACACAACATAGCAATAACACTGCAGGTGCATGCACATCAGTGTTGACTGATGGAACTGACTGGTCATGGAAACAGGACACCAAGACCAGTCCCTGCCAGGAGAAGGGAGGGGAAAAAGTGCAAGGCAACCACAACAGCAATCAGGACTATTTCACATGAAAGGTGAGATAAATGATGACATCAACGTGGCTGAAGCCTATGAGCTGGGTAATAATAACAACTAATTAAAAGATCATTAGGGAAGTCTCAGAACACAAGCTTGCACATGATGCAGTATCTGATTGGCGAGATTAAATGCATCTATCCTGGGAAATCAAGGAATAAATGCAAACACGGCCAAAATGTCAAAATGCAATTTTTAATTCACTGATGAGGGACAACAAAAAATTGTGCCTTTAAAGTTCTTGTTATAGATAAACAATCCCTTTTGTTGTGTTTTTGACTACATCCAAATAAAAAGAGAGGAAATACTGCAAAGAAAAAAACCACCAAAACGGTTTCTGTGATAAAAATTTAGTAGGGCACAGAATCAATGTCAGCTACTTTAGAAGTAACTGAGGGAAAAAAATATCAATATGCAAAATATCAATATTAGTGTTATTTCAGGGCAGCTGCTAGTTGATTTTGACATGAAAATATGGAATCTAGAGTGATGATCTGTTTTCCCATACTCAAAGTTAAGGTCAAAGAGCAAAATATTTGTGTGCTTAAAAACTCTCCACACCTCCCTTGCTGGGAAGGATGACAGGATATCTTCAAAGCAAACAACAAAAAGCATGAAATATGTATTCTTTAATTTTTGTGTGTCTATATGTAAAAATTTCGCTTAGTCTCTTTCCCTTTTCTCAAACATTTATTTTGGACAATGCTTTTTTAAACCATGACAGTATTGTATTTACAAAACACTACTCCTGTTTAATCAATCAATACATCTTTCATTTAATATGAAACACCTTCTCCTTTTTCTCCACAAAATTATTAGCTACTTTTTGGAGATTTAAACCGATTATTAAAGTCCACACAGGAAAAAAAAATTCAAATCTTTGTATTTTGTGTTACCTGCTGAAAATGATTGCAAATAACTTTACAATAAATTGGCTGAGAGAAAAGCACATAATTTAAAAAATTTTGAGATAATATTCCTGTAACTAAGCATTTGTGTATGCAATAGGTAAGGGAGAAATAAGTCTGTGTACTTCTTTGGGAGGAAAACACCTTTGCTGTGGGATGCAGCTTTCTATGCATCTTTTTATGTGGAAAAAAGCAGTGATAGAGGAAGGGAAGAAGCAGTTTTCCTCTCTGCTGTGAGGCTGGTGACAGACAGCAGAAGAGCAGAAATGCCAAGCTGAGGAAGACCCACTATCACAATGGCTTTTAAGAGATCTCCAGGACACAGTTACCACATAAGTGCATGCACAAAAGAGTTTTCTTCTTCCCACACCAACAAGAATATACTTTTACTTTCTAAATGATACAAGTATATAGACATAATAACTCACATACATGTGGTTTATTCCAATAGTAGTAATTCAAACAGACACATTTATGATATGAATGTCAGTGTGAACTATATAGTGGAATATCTTGTTTTTGAGTCAACACCAGTGTACACTATGCTAAGAATGTATAGCCTATTTTATCTTCTAAGTGTTAGAAAAAGGTCACAGTAATAAAAAGTGGAAGTATTAATACTGGAGTTGGTCTTGTACAGCGAGTTGCCATAATAAACATACTACTCCAAGTCTTCCCAAGAGAGTATCCATTAAATTGTGAAACCACCAAGAAAGCACACATCACATGGGCTTCACTGAGCTTGGCTCTGGACCCAGGACAGAAATGACTGAAGAAGATATACATACAAACCTCAAACACATACATGTTCTGTGGAGCTTTTAGTGCATGACTGGTTTCATCATTCATGCCTTAGAACAAAACCCCAATGAACTATTTAGCATCTGCAACAGCAGTGTGCCCTGACAGAACTGTCAATGGATAAAACTTATAGAGTGATGTGGAGGCAGACCAAGTTCTGAACTAAGTTACACACTGTATAAGTTCTTCAACATAACACACAATATTCTCATGACTACACGTCTCACACGTGGGACCATGGAGCAGCAGTGTGGACAACCCTCTGTGAGGACTCAAGTCTCTGCCAGCAGACAGCAAATCCTCAGACAGGCAGCACTGGTAGATGCAGGATGAACAGCCCAAGGCAGATCCATGTACTAATTGCCTTAAGCAGATTAACTGTTCTGGTGAGAGATGTCCAGTAGCACTTTATCAGTCCAAGATAGTGCCCTTCAACAACACATTTCAGACAAATCTCTTAATAAACACAACACCCTTAACACAGCTGAGAAGGGCCACATACACCACAGTGAGTATTTTTAAACATTAACATGGAACTGCAAGAAAAGGTACAGAAAATGAAGACTATAGCATAAATTTCAGTTGAATTTATGAGCAAGGACTTATTAGGATAGCTTAAAGCACCAGATCCTCCTTTCCCAATTTAATATACTGTTTAGCATAAGAGGTGTCACATTCATATTTTTCAAGTTCTAATTACTCATGCAAATGCAATTTTTACTTGTTTAGTAAGCACTATGCCAGACCCCTGTCATCAAATTTTGGTTACTCCAGCTACCTCTCTGTATGGCTGACTTCTAATGCAGAAGAACCCAGAAAAACCACCAACAAGCTACATGCACTTGTTTTTCTCCACGAAAATATGAAAGAAAGATGATAAATAGACAAGAAATAAACAGACTCTGCTTGTCCCACTCCTTCTGTGGAATTTGGAGTAGAATACAAGACCAGCCCTGCATTGGAAGAATCAACATACTTGTTATAAACCAATACCAAATGCTTGACCTCCAAGAAGGCAACATAATGTCTGGCAACTACTATAGTCGATCCTTAGGTGCTTTCTAATTCTTTCTTGGATTTCTTCCTGGATCTGGAGGCCCAGAATTTAATTTCTCCTGCAATTGTATGACTCAAATGAAAATACAGCAGGATATGTTGCTGTACAGTTTTACACTGGATGCACAGTAGAGTTTAAAAATGTTTGTTACCATTGAGAGCTCACTGGTTTTTCCTGGTGATACAGACCTGCTTTAGGCAGGCAGGCACAGTGGGGCACAGCTGCTGTGGTGTGCACAGTCACCATTCCACTCCTTTCTCATTGACACTCTTTCTTAGATCTTTTTTCCCCTTTAAGTAACTTAACAGGGCCTGTGCAAGAGATTTGTAGAATCAGAGAAGGGTTTGGGTTCGAAGGAACCTTAAAGATCATTTAGTTCCAACATCTCATCATGGCCAGGAACATCTTCCATGAAACCAAGTTGGCTCAAAGCCCCATCCAGCCTGGTTCACTCCAAGAAGAAAGACTGATCTCCTCAATACTTCCTCTTAGGAACATTAAGTGCCCCCACAGTACTTCTCTTAAAAATCAATAATAGATATGCTGATGATGTGCCAAACAGTAACTGAGACGTGTTAAGAACTGATTGGTCACTGGCTCCTACTAGACTGGTACAAATAGTGTCAACATGAATATTTAAAGCAACTGTCCTTATCTTTTCAGTTCCCTTTGGGGAACAAAAAGAGAGAGGGAGAAAAGAGAAAGAAAAAAAAAATACTTTAAACCATATGAGTAACAACATAAGGACAGCTAATATCAGACTTATCAAAATCACAAAAAATTATGACACTGAGTGATGTACACAACGCTGGTTTCCCTTGTGAACTTCAGCTAAGATTTAATCTCCTCTGCAAGGGCAGAAAATGCCTCACACCTAGAAAGGGAGTACCTAAACCAAGATAAGAAACTCTGGACTAGACTCAGACTGTAAAAAAATATTAACTTCTTTAATTATATGGGTGTGAACTACCATATTCTCCTCTGAACTGACATTTCTCTGTAGCTTTTTCTCTCTATAAAATCCCACACTCATTCAAATTTCTCTCCAAAAAATCCTTCTGGAACACCTAGAAAAACAGTCCACAATGGCTGGGCAGCTGGCATAATGCAATGGCTCATTATCTTAATTTCAACAGGAAATCTCTTATCTGCTGGTGATATCAAGGTCAAGCGGAAAATTTTAACAACCAATATGAGGAGATCTGTGCATCTTTAAGTTTGTAACTTGATAAATTCTAAACATTTTTATCATTTTTTCGAAATGTATTTTTTTGACATTTGGTAAGCAAAAGGATATACAAATTGTTCAGGCAGGAGTGATGCTCCTTTTCAAGACAGACTGACTGACTTGGGGACAGCCACACCCAGGCTGAGTACTGGCAGGACAGAAACTCTCCTGCTGTTTGTGGTGCCAGGCCACTCCAGACATACAACACATTTAGAAGGCTCATTAAATAATATCTTCATAATGACGTTGAGATCTTTAGAACTAAGAGTCATTGAAATGTGAACATAACATAAAATATAAAACTACAGAAAACTCCATCTCATTCCACCACTTACCCCTTGAGCTGGTCCCTTGCCAGTTCAATAGTCTTACAATAAAAAGCACCCATGATATGAGAAAAAACAAATCTCAGAGTCCTGTGACTGGCATTGCATAGTCAAAATTTAAAAGTCTCAAATGAAGGAATGACCAAAGTGTTTGCCACGTAAGCAAGAGCCCAGTGAGGATTTGAAAATGAAGAAAGAGGCTAGCCTAACATCTGGATTCCTTATTTGATATACATCTGAAGAATGGAAGAGACATCTGTCCCTGGATATTTTCAGCAGAGGGACACATCTCATAACAAATTCTCAAAGGCATTTTCAAGGATGTATCTTCCTCAGCATCTCTTAACTCAAAAGCATGGTGTGCCCCGTGCCCGTGCAGGCACTGTAGTGAGGATTCAGGGAGTGTAGCTGATTTTTCCTATTTTTACGTGCTGGAAAACAGGGAGTTTTCTTCCTCAGCCT